CGACGCGAAGAACTTACAATTGCATGTGCTGCAAGGCCCCTCAGTTTTTGCAATTGACATTTCAGGCGTTGCCGGTGCCCGAAACGGATGGGAGATTACGGCTTCGGATTTGGAGGTTCTGCTTAGGCGTTTAGGGATTGGAGGCAGATTCTGGCGCTACGCTTTGCATCTCAGTTGTCATCCGGCCTTTCGGATGAAGTGCTCAGGTGCTGTACGCTCCACTGCAATGAACTGAACACGCAGTCATACTATTCCCTACAAATCTCTTCTGAGAGACTCCGCCAACCCGGTCCTCGTCGTGTGGGAAGCCTCCGCCAGCCTCGACCTCGCACTGCCGATTTGCGACCCTCCAAAGCAGTCGGAGATTCTCGCCCGCATCAACATCTTGATTTTCTTCGCCTTCTTCGACTTCTTCTTTCTTCGGCCTCCTCATGTTTATCACCATGATCACCATCATGAACATCATCATTCGGATCATCGTCATCATCATCAGTCAGCATACCACCATCATCATCCCCATCCTCCTGAATCTTCTCACCATGCTCATGTTCATCACGTTCATCATCTTCGTGTTCACAGTCACGCTCAACGCCGTCATCATCAGCATCATTTTCCGGGGGGGTAGCAGCAGCACCAGCAGCAGCAGCCCGGGCATCAGCATTGTGATTGTTGCGGGTTCCAGCATTGATCCTTGCAGATGCAGCATGTCAGTTCACAGTGCTCGCGAATACGACGAGGTGCTGCCACTACAATCTACAACCGCCACCATCGCGAGCACCCCCACTGACGAGTGCTCATTGTCTCAACGCCGGGATGCCAGGAAGGCCACCAACTCCGACCAGTTCTCACGCTCCAGTAGCAGATGCAGTGGCTGGACCGCCGCATCGCCCTCCTTGGACTCTCTCTCTCTCTCTCTCTCTCTCTCTCTCTCTCTCTGACGCTCCTCGGCCGATCTTATCTCTGTCGTGTTTCAGGGGCTTTCTTCCTGAAAAAGCTGCGCGGTGCCACGCTGCTGCAAGATGGGTTCTACGTGTTCGTCGCTCACAGAGGCGATTCTGGAGAGCAGGGAGTAGGCGACCTATCATATGTTGAGCTCCCGCCCCTCATCTTGACACGCTGGGAGATCTCCTGTCAAACCAGCTCTGGCCGGAATCAACAGCTCAATCAGGCGTTAAAGGCTTCATTACCACGGGGCTGTTGATTACGACCATCACATTCACACTACCATCAAGCTCTAAGCCCTTGGATTAAAAACTCCTTGAACCCAAACCCTAAACCAAATAAATCAAATCCTCACACTTCTCAGAAGAAGTTAAACCCGAGTCCAGGCTTCCCAGTGGTCATCCTGAGGAAGGAGCAGGCACTGCGCCAGAAGCGAGCGCCGTTTGTGGGCCTCCTGGCCTACCACCTCCAGCAGATTGCACCTGCAGGGCTTAGGGGCTTAGGGGCTTAGGGTTTAGGGTTTAGGGGTTAGAGAGGTTTACCAATCCTAGTAAGAACCCTGGCCCTAAGCGGCTGAGGGTGTGTTCTGACATCCACATCCAACCATGCACTGTTTCTTCCTAGGCGCTCAGTGCATACCCTAGAGCTGCCTAAACTGAAGCCGCCTTAACGCTACGAATCAGTTCTCCATCACTTCCACGCAAAACGTTAGGCATGTGAGACCACCTGATGATGCAAGGGCCTGAGGGGGTAGAATACTGAGCCATCACCAACGAATCAGGTTGAGGGAACATGGCAAGTTTAGGGTTTGGATGCTTTTTTGGTGCAGCAAAAACTCCTGCGGGAGAAGCTCGGCCGCAGGCAGTGCCCTTCGCGAAGTAAGAGATTTGAAACTACAGCTCGCAGGAGGCGACATAACTTGCATGCCAAGCGCAGGAGTTTCTTGCTGTCTTTCTGGCTGAAAGGCGCAGGAGGGGCCACACACCTCGAGAACGACAGCACACGGATACACACTGCACACGGCTGTTGTGGGAAACTTGTCAATGTGTTTGACTTCCCCACCACCAGTCACAATGCTCTTGAGTGCTCGAAGGATGCATGATGCCAAAACATGCTACAAAATGTGTCTACCGCGGCTTGTAGTGCAGCCATGCCGCAGCACCATCGGCAGCGTCCATCCTTCCACGTCTTGCGTGAGAGCCTGGAAAGCCCTCTGGTGCTTGAACTCGAGCCCTAGACTTCGCAAGTTGATAACCCTATAAACCCCTGCCCAAACCCGAAAACTTAGTCCCTAACCTTGACCAATATGCCGCCGTCATCGATTGCAGGTGATTCTCAACTATGTTTAAAGCTGGCCGACAGTAGATTTATAGCGCGAGATCAACCATCTCCGAATAGCAACGTTCAAGCGACATTGGACAAGCCACAGATTAGGGTAGGCCACCTGGCTGGATTAACACTGGCTCCTGAGTGAAACCTACTTCGTGACATGCCGACCCAGAAGGCAAGGGTGAAACACAGCATTAATCAGCATTAGGACCAAGAAATATCAAATATCACAGTAGAGACCACCGGACTGCAAGTCCCGGATCAACCTGCAAGCAAACTCTACCAACAAAAATAACCGATACACCTACGGTGGAATGCAAGCGCGCCGACCTCGCTAGCAAGAACCACGGTAGAACGCCGCGCCTATCTCGAGAAAAATCTTGTATGCTACTCTGCCAGCATTTAATAATCTTTTCGGAACGCCAGACCCCTGAAAGCATGACCCAGGGCGGAAAAGTTATCAAGGCAGGCACCGAGTCGCCACTTTATGGAAAAGGGCGATGAAGCCAGCTTGCATGCGTTAAATTATCGCTTCCAAACTACGTGAAGTTATTATTTCAGTCTTCTCTCAATAAAGCTCGTCGGCATGGTTCGGCCGCGGCTTGCAATTTTCCACGAGCTGCACAAATAGCGCAATCGAGTAGCATACTCGACCATTGCTGGTGCTTTTCCTGCTATGCTGAACGTGTTTTTCTACTACGGCTCCTTCCTTTATGCTGAGCTAGCTTCTTTTTAAATGTTTTCTGAGGGCCGGGCGGGGGGGGGGTGCCTACTTATGTTGTCCTTTTGCGATTCTAGCCTTTTTTCTGCTGCAGGGGGGTGGTGAGCGTGCCGCCAGGAAATGGTTGTCATGCTGTTGAGACAGGGTAGCGTAGTACAGGACATATTGTAGCAGTAGACGAGTAGTCGTTGTCGTCGTCGCTATCGTTGCGGGGTTAGTAGTAAGTTAGTAGCTGCCAGTTTTAGTTTTGCCGCCCGGCATCCCCCGTTCTGTCCCTGTCTCCCATCCCCTTTCCCTGTCCAGACTTGTTGCCTCTTGTTTCGTCGCCTCACGGCGCCTTGTCTCTGCGTCCCTGCGTCCGTCCGCGTGGGCCGCAGCTCCGGAGCCGCGTTCCAGCCATCCAAAGCCGCGCTCCACCCATCCAAACCCGCGGGCCGCAGATCCAGCATCCCAGCCATAGCCGCGTTTCTTCCATCCAACGCAGCTCCAAAGCCGCGTCAGTCGCATTCTACCCATCCCGCCAGCCAATCCAAACAAGCAGGCCCCCAGCTCCCGCGTTCCACCCATGCATCCACAGCCGGATTCCAAACCTGCATGCCCAGCTCCAGAGCCGCGTTCCACCCATCCAAACCCGCAGGGCCGTGTTCCACCCCTCCCGCCAGGCGCGTCCCGTTTTGTTCTGAGGAAAGGACCCCAACAGGGGAAACAGCACAGAGCTCTGCTGTGCCGTTTCTGGCCGACTAACACACCATGGGTGCTGCGGCCGGCTGCCGGCTTCCGGAACGCCATATGGCCACCCTACCAGTCCGAACAGGCTTTAAGCTCTCACAACTCGGACAAGCCAGGCGATCTTCCAAAGGTGCGTGACGGCGTGAAACAGACAGGAGGCGCTTTGCCCAGTACTATGCAAACAAGATACAAGGATAAAGTAAAAAGCAAACAAATAGGTAGGCAAAGGGCAAAGCAACTAGCAGAGTACAGCAAGGCCGGAGTCTTCACGGTAGGCTGGGCCCTGCAGGTTAAGGCCTTCCCAAGAAGCTAGTATAAAGGTAGCCTAAAATAAATGACAGCAATCAGGGCCTTAACAAGACAGGGAGTGCGACTACAATACACATTGGTGTTCGGGGTGCTAACAGGTCTTCGTCTCAACTGTACAGACTCAGCGGTGCTCAGGGGTTGATTTTTCTCAGAAGTTTCTCAGAAGTGCTCGCACTTCTAGTCAGACAGTTCTCATCGGAACAAGCTTTAGGGTTTGCGGAAAGAGGCCCGGGACCGCACAACCATGCAGAAAACGCGCAACCACAACGCCGCTAGATGAAATCATCATTAGATTTCGACTAGACTCTGGACAAGTAGCTTTGTTGTCCAACCACTGCTGCTAGCGCTTACTGCAGAACAAGTCTTGGGGTCAATGAGTCAAGGTATTCTGCGACTATGAACTTGATCAGCATGCCCTGAGCTGAACGCTGCCACTGCAGGATTAAGTTCTATCGCGTAATATAACTTTCTGCTGCTATTCGCACGCAATATTGTGGATTTTAGGACAACACCATTGCTAGAGATAGCTTTGATATAAGTGTTTCCACTGATGCCCTTCATGCCTGTGGCTGGCTGCTGATCTCTCGAAGAAGAAGCTGCCAGACCGCATGGGCCTTTGTGGGCTTTTGGGTTGACAATTCACAACTGCTGGATTCGGAGCAACATCAGAGGGGACATGACGCAACTCACGCCCGCTTCTTTGCAGGCTCAGTCTTGCGGAAACTATGGACAACTATGGCATGTAAAACGGATGCGGAGCAAGAAAATTATGATGAGCCAAAGAGCTCCAGAGTAGGCAGCCGTGAAGAGCAGCGGAAATCCTCAATAGCCACGAGATATGTGTGCTCCTCTCCGGTAAGTTATACCCGCTTCTGCGCTTCCCCATGATTATGGCTATCACAGATCAGGCTGAGACGAACTCGAAAGCAGGGGCCTCCTTCCCGTTTCAGGCTACTCCGAAGCAAGTCGCGATAGCAGCCTGTTGCGAGCTTCTGCTGGAGCTCCATGGAGATGACGGACGGATTTGGCTCAGCCCAGAGGCTGTTGGCTTTGACCTCACCCGCGTCACAGGCTAGCTCATGCCCTCATGCGGTGCCCACTCCGATTTACACACCATCATGCGCCCACGGCTATGTCTATGCTCCAGCTGGGGGACTAGAGAGGACAGCTCAGAAGCATCTCCATCTCGCACGGCCTTCCCAACCTGTCAGGCTTCACGTCCACAAATGAAAGTCCGACAAACGGAAGAAGAGCATAGTGAACTCTACACCCTGCACATCAAGTCGGACGAGACAGTCGCTTGCCCAGCCCATCACATCGAGAGCAGCCCATCTGACACTAACATATTGTGTGCCAAACTGACAAGAAGGTACAGGAAGTGCCTCTCAAGATCCTGGAATCTTTTCACCAAACCTCCACAACCTCCTTATTAAGCCCTCACCTGCGCCAGCACGACGTTGTCATTCAAAGCAGATCCAGCCGGCGGTCCTGGTTGACACCTTGGACATGTCATGCCCTGCGCGAAACCCGCACCAGATCCCAAAACTAGCTGGCGGCCGAAACGAGCTCTTGCACACACTGTCATGCTTTCATGGCCTCCGGCTTCGCGGCTCAATGTCCGACAGATTCTATGGGCGAAGAATCTTCCGCAAGGATTCGGGCACTTGGGTTAATTAGGATGCCGCTGAAGCGCCGCAGCTCGTCTCTCAGGCTCTTGCGGCCTCGCAGTGGGCCTTGGAGCACCCGCGCCCGGCTCTGCCAGGGCGGCGGCTCCCCGAACTTTGCGGGGGGCCTCGGCCCCGGCGCCGGAGGCTTTGCCGGCACCTCCGGCTTTTTGGCTTCCGCTGGGTTTAGGGTTTTGGGATTTGGGTTTAGGATTTAGGCATCACCCTTTCGTCTTTTGCCAGCTGCACCTCCTCCGTATCCGGCAGCCGGCAAGTCACGGCTTCCGGGCGTGAGAAGGGTCGGTGGTCGGCGCAGTAGCGGCCCTGGCTTTGAGAGACGTGCCTGGGCTGGGAGAAACAAGGCTAGGGAGCTAGCTCGATGAGCCGACCCTCAGCCGACCTGCTAGCACATCTTTCTCTGCTCACCTCTAGCTTTCAACGAGAAGACTGAACCATGGCTTCAAGACTCTTTCTCGTCTGGCTTTGCACTAAACTGACCATCTCCTTCTCCTGGACCAGAACCCTACCCGTGTGAGAGGACGGAGAACGCCCCCAAAAAGGCTCTGGCACCAAAAAGGGAAGAAGCACGACCATTATTGCATCGTGCAATAATAGAGTCATGGAGTCATGACCATTAAGTCAATCAAACCATCATCGGGACCCCCAATTCCTGCCCCAAAAAGGCTGGACCCGGCCAGGCAGCCCCAAGGCACCTCCCCCGAGGTGCACCAGCCGCACCAACTCGCTCTCTCCGAGCCCAGATCCCCCTTGCAGCTGGCTCAGGGCACCTCTCGGGAGCCCTAAGAGCGCTCAGAAGCTTGGCAGGGAGACTCTGAGCCGGACTTTGGGGGGTTGAGGGTTCAGGCTTGAGAGCTCCGTGAGTTTGGAGTAGGCCGGGTGGTGTTTGTAGGAAGACACCGCTTAGCCAAGAGATCTCGGCCTCTGCACTTTCCACCCCAACAGGAAGAAGCACCTTGGGTTGTTACTCTGTGTTGCATGGCAACCACGAAGGGTTTGTGCCATCGACCTGGCTCGTTTGAGATGGTTCAGGCACTCTGTTTGGGACGCAGGTTCTAAAATAAGGCACGCCGGATTTCTACAACCTCAAGACTCAAGCTGCGATCGCCGAAGGGCCGATGAAACCCCCTGAGGGGGCCTAGGAACCAGAAGATGGTCGAGGCTGTGTCGATCTGTGGCTCTACAGAAAGGTTAATACTACACAGCAGCTCAAAGTCACCATTGGTCAAGCCCGTAGACAGCCAGACAGCCCCTAAACCGTACCATCCCCGAAACCCGCTGCCTCGCTCCACAGGCGTGGGGGCGTGAGTGCCTTGCGATTTCCGGCCGGCCAGGCGGCGAAAGAGCTTCCCCGCCTGAATTCTCGTTATTTCTTTTCTTGGAGCTCCCTGACTTGGGCGTTCTTTGGGTCGAGATGAAGGCTGGCTACTTTCTGAAACGCTAGGCTTCGGGGCTTCTTGTTTTGGCTTCGTGTTTAGGGCTCGTGGCTGGAGATGCACAGTCTGGCTCGGCAGCGCAATTTGCAGCCCGCAGTGCACGACTGGGGTCAAGAGGAAAGCCCAATGGAAAAGCGCTGATCAATCCAATAAAAAGAACCCGAAAAAAAAAACACTCACCCAACTTGCAGGCGCCTCTTGGACATCCAACAGGCCGTCACCATTGGCATCAAAGGCTGTCAGAAGCTCGGCCGCGATGCCCTTCAGCTTCGCAAGGTAACGGCCGTGCTCTTCTGCACCTCACAACAACCGCGGTGAAAAAGTGCTGAAGTCTTTTAGTGGGCCAGTTGCATTTCCACATGGCTCTGTCTTGCTGCACACTTGTTTATATGGTCAAGTTATGCTTCAGTCTACAAACTGTCATATACATGTTGGCTTAGACTCCTGTGCATAGTAAGCCACATGCCTATGGACCTTGACACGTGACATATGGCGACTTTTTCCACATTTTTGTCACCCAGCTAGCACGCCTACGACAGCTTCGCTTCACAAAACTTTGTCTACATTAGCAATGGTGAGTTCTTGCTCTTGTCAGCCTGTCAATGTCTTAAGGTGTATCTGTGTGTGCATGTGTGCATGTATGCATGTATGCATGTATGCACGTATGCATGTATGTATGTATGTATGTATGTATGTATGTATGTATGCACACACGTCACCATGTATGCATGTATGTACGCATGCAACGTATCGTGGAATGGTCGCAACATCCTTTCTCTGTGCCGAGAACCCTTCAACGCCAAACTACTCGAAACCGTCAACCCAGCAGCCCTAACCTCAAATCCTACGCCCCAGAAGGCCTTGTGTACTCCGTTGCGAACGGAGTGGTGGGATGGCCCTACACTGGTCATTGGATCCTTCAGCTAATGACCCCCAAAGAACGTACCAGTTCCAAAGCCCTTTCAGCAGGCCTGGGTCCTTGGGCCGTAAAGTCCGGGCCCTTCCCGTCGGCTTCTCGGCCGATTGGTGCCGGCCTTGGCCGAGGCAGGCTTTGAAGGGTTCCAAGAAGGCATTCGACTACGAACTACAAGGGCTCGGGGCTTTAAAACAAAGATTCGGGCTGTTGCGGGTTCATGGCCTCGTGCAGTGCTAGGCGAGTAGACCCGCTGCAGCAGGTGCGAAGGCTGGCAAGGCAGCAGGAAAACATCAAATGTCAGTGCTGCGGAAACGCGTGCCAAAGCCATAACTACACAATCAAGGACACGTACGTTCACGGCAACGAGAAAAAGAACATCTTGCTTAATTTAGGTGTGAGGACCAAAGCAATGCGAGCTCCATGAAGAGATGTCAAAACAGCAAAGGTGTGTAAGATCCCGTGTCAAACTACCTGATTCCCTCTGCTCTCTGAGGGCCTGCAGACCTCTGGGGTGATGACAGCCCACCAGACCGGAAAAAGAAAAGGGTCGGCCCTCTCCCGGCTGCCGTCCAGCTATATTCATTTGTTCATGGGTTGAGGCCCTGAAACCTGAACCCTGGCGCAATACACCCGGCCTTGCTGGCGTTGCAGATGCTTCCCTGCTTTCACTGCGGCGAGGTCCAGACGCACACGCTGCAGGTCCTCGCGACGGGCGCTAGAATCTACAAGCAAGAGGTTCGCGGGCACAGCCACGGAAGAGACAGAGAGAGAGAGAGAGGAAGGGAGAG